CCTGAACCATGGACCCAACAAGGCATTCCTTCCCCACGGAGCTCCTGGCTCCACCCTCTGAGGTCAAGCAGAAGACAGGAGCCCCTCAGCCTCCCTAGCACCTAAAGATGTCAGTCTCTGCTCCACTCCCCCCCAACCCAGTTCTCTCTTCTCCAGGCTAAACGTCCTCAGTTGCTGCAAATAAGTCTAACCAATGGGATTCCCAAAAGTAGGAAGATGGGAAGGCCACGGGCAAAGGCCAGAGAATCTGAGAGAGGGAAATGTTGGTGAGGATGGGGGCCGGGGGGAGACAGAGAGAGAGACACACACAGAGACAGAGAGAAACAGAGACAATGAGAGGAGAGAGACACAGAGAGACAGAGACAGAGAGCCCCAGCTGAGCCTGGAGACAGGCCAATGCTCAGGGGCTGGGAGAACCAGCAAAGGAGTGAAAAAGGAGTTGTCATACCTGGAAGAGGAGAGATAGGAGGAGGGGCCACAGAAGCCAAGGGCAGGTACCCAGGAGGGGGTTGCGATCAGGAGAGTCCCAGGCTGCAGAGGTGAAGCAGCACGAGGCCTAAGAGAGCCCCTGGACTTCGCAGTTGGCAGAGAGTGATGGCCTTGTTGAAGGGACTTTTCACAGAGCACTGGAACCATGAGCTTGACGGTGAGGGTAGAAAAGCAGAGATGGGGAAGGTAGCCAGAAAGATGGTGGCTCTTTCTGGGAGCATGGCAATGACAAGAAGGAGAAACAGAGAAGGCTCGTTTGAGGGGACAGCAAGATGAAGCGAAGACGTTTTCATGAACAGAAGAGAATTGATAGTGTTTGCAGGCCCCAGGGAAGAAGCCTGGGAGAGACCCCCAGGTACCAGGAGCACAGAGCCAGAATGCTGGATCCGAGAAGCCAACAAGGGGAGAAGAGAAGAACTGATTCTGATGAAGGGGAATGATGGTAAACAGGACGGGAAGCTCCACTCCCAAGGAAGAAGGCGCTGCTCCAGACCTCATCCCCAAGTCACCCCGCTGACCACTGAGAGAATGATCACTCTGGCCCAGAACACAAGCGGGTCAAGGGCAGGGCCAGTGTCATTTTAGCCTTTGAGTCTGCGCTGCTCAGAGTAGGTGGGTGACAATGTTTGTGGAAGTGACTGGTCACAGGATCTGCTAAAAACGTTCATTGGCTCCCTATTGCCTGAAGAGTCCATTTCTGGCACTCGAGGCTCCCTTTCAGCTTGGTCTCCCCCTACTCTCCTCCACGTGCTCTCTGGTCCAGGCTTGGATTTCTCTCCCTTGGAATCTGGCCCCACTCCTGCATCTCGCTTCAGGAATGGCTAAAGGCGAGGCTCATGCAGCCGAGAAGACCCGATGCCTCCGTGTGCCAACAGATGTTGATTATGGCAGCAGCAAAGAACTCGGCCTCCCACAGGGTCAGTCCTGATCCCCCAAAGAGAAAAGCGCCACTGAGGGACAGTAATCCAGAAAATGCGGATTTAATCCTGAGGGCCAAGGAGACATTTGGGATGGGCTGAAGCCTGGCAAGAAGGGGCCCATTCCAAATCCTTTTCAGGACTTCTAAAGTACTGCCCATGAACACAAAAGGCCTCCATGCTAAGCCATCCCAGACAGCCTGCTCTGCCCCCTCCATGCCTCAGCTCATCCCAAGTGGGCCCTGGGGGCTGAGGCTGAAACTCCAAGGGCAGGGAGGTCTGGGCCCACGGCCAAGCCTGGAGATGACTCGGGACACTGGGAAGCTGCCATCACAAGGTCACAAGAGTCATTCCTTTGTACATGAGCTCATGCTCCCTGCACATTTTAGAGGCAAGAAAAATACCAACCACAAAAGGCCAGAACGTTGAAATGCATCCGTATAACCTATAAATTATAATAATGCAATTTTTTTTGGTCTAGACCTGTGATTTCATCCTGTTGAAGAACTCCCAGTGTGAAAACCACCTCTACCAACGTAGACTGACTACTGATCTCCAACCAGCGACCCCTGAGTACTTCCTGGGCCAATGAGGGGAAGGAATAGGAAGAGAAAAAAAATTATTAAGCTCCTACTATGTGCTAAGCACTTTACAAACATGATCTCATTTGATCCCCACAACAACCCTGGGGGGTAGGTGCTATTATTGTCCCCATTTTACAGTTGGGAAAAACTGAGGCTGATACAGATTAAGTTGTTATTATTATTATAGCTAACATCTATATAACACAAACTATGTGCCAGGCACTATAGTAAGCACTTTACAAATATGACCTCATTTGATCCTCACAACAACCCTGGGGAGTAGGTGCTATTATCATCCTCAGCTAACAGATGAGGAAACTGAGGCAAACAGGGTTAAATGCCTTGCCCATAAGTGTCTGAGGCTGGATTTGAACTCAGCTCTTCCTGACTCCAGGCCTAGAGCTCTCATCCACTACATGGGAAGCTGACGGACTTACCTTTCCAGTGGCTCCCTCCCATGCCTCAAATGCTTCCCCTACATCCCTGTCTCTTTGCTTCCCTGGCCTTCTTGAAGACTCAGCCCCCAGGTTGGGGCATCTAGGTGGTGCAGTGGATATAGAGCACCGGCCCTGAGGTCAGGAGTACCTGAGTTCAAATCCGGCATCAGACAAAAACACTTGACACTTACTAGCTCTGTGACCCTAGGCAAGTCACTTAACCCCAATTGCCTAAAAAACAAAAACAAAAACAAAACAAAACAAAAAAAAAGACTCAGCCCCAATTCCACCATCTGCAGGGGGCTCTTGTTGGACCTCACTTTCCTCTCCTTCGGCCCTGTCTAGATCTTGTATGCAAACAGAGACTGCCTCGTGTGACTGCCTAGAAAGCCAGGCTGCCGTCTTGGGCTCTCTTCATGTCCCTGGCACTTCGCACAGTGCCTGTACTTAATAAGCGTACTTAATGAGTGCTTTCTGGCTGCCTGTGAAAGATGGGCACCAGCCTCAGTGGCCTCTAAGCTGCATCTGAATCTAGAATCCTAAGGCCTCTTCCCATCCTCACTACAGGCACCACCCCAAAACCCAGCGAGCAAAAGCCAGAGAGAGATCAGTGTCCAACAGAGAGCACACTGACCTGAGGTCTGGGTTCAAATCCCAGCTCGGCTACTTACTCCCTGTGTGGCCTGGGGCCAGTGTGGACCTCTGGACCTCACTTCCCTCATCTGCTAAATGAGGGTGTTGGAGGAATCTCCCAGCAGCCCCTGCAGCCCAAGTCACAAAGACCAGGAGCAGGCCTTGTTCGATGGGCCACGCCAGGCAGAGCCCTTAAGGACATCTGAGGCGGCATCGGGAGGTGCCCGTTCCAATGAGCGCTTTTTGGCAGCTCGGCTTTGGCATCCCAGGCAAAGTGAAGGAAGGTCGCTGGATGCAGGGAAGGCAAAGGGGAATGAGGAAATCAGTGTCAGTGACAGCCTCAAAGATGATTTCAAAGTTGTTTTAAAGAGCTGGCCACGCGGCCAGCAGAGCACAGAGGGAGTCAAATAAACTCTATGAGAGCTCCCGATCAGCCTTCCATACTGTGTAATGTGGGCCACGCCTCTCTTTTCAGAAGTAGCATCGAGCTCTTTGGCTCATGGCGGCCTGATTTTCTGCTGTTCTACTGTCAGGTCTCCCATGTCCCAGCTCTCCCCTCCTCCCCACCAAAAAAAATATCAAGCCGCCACCTTGGATGAAGGCTCTACTGATCGAGAAGGGACGTCTCTGCACCACTAGAGAGTCAGCAAGCATGGCTAAATGTCAATGACAAATCTGGCGATGCTTAAAAACGCAGTCGTGGCCAGCCACTGGTCCGAGCGAAAGGAGGCATCGCTGACACAGACCTTTGCCATGTAAAAGTGCCTCGGGCATCGTCCCTGCTTTCTCGGCTTCCTCTCTTTCCTTTCCCCAATCCATCTGCTGCAATTGACACTTCAAAGGCACAGGTCTGGCTGTGTCACTCTCCTGTTCACAGCCTTCACTGGCTCCCTATTGTCTCAAGCGTAAAACAAGGTTCAGCCTGGCATCCTTCTAAGTACTCCACAATCCAGCTTTTTGTTGTTCACTTGTTTTCGGTCATGTCCAACTCTTCACGACCCCACTTGGGGTGTTCTCGGCAAAGACGCTGGGGTGGGTTGCCATTTCCTTCTCCAGCTTATTTTATGGATGAAGAAACTGAGGCAAACAGGGTAAAGTGACTTGCCCAGGGTCACACAGCTAAGAAGTGTCCGAGGCTGTATTTGAATGCATGAAGATGAGTCCTCCTGATTCCAGGTCCAAGGCTCTCTCTCCACTGCAACGCTGACTAGCTGCCTTCAATCTAGCCAGCCTTACTTTTCTAAACCTTTCACATTATTTACCTTCTCTCACTCTATATTCTATCCAAACTGGCTTACTAGCTATAACTCTAATTCAATATAAAACCTCCTGCGTCCCACACCTTTGCAAAGGCTGAGCTCCATGCCTGTATGGACTCCCTCCTCACCTGGCCCTCTTAGAATCTTTCTAAGTATGGTATGATTCCAGGTGCTGGGCTCTCTCCCTCATCTTTCCTTCTCTGTTTCTACACTGTATCCCTCCAGTGGAATGTAAGCTCCTTAAGGGAAGAGACCTTTGTTTTTCACTTTGTATCTCTAGCATTCAGCACACAGAACCTGCTTAATAAATGCTTGTTAAATTGAAATGAGTTTGATTAGAGCCCTGTGACCCAACCCAATCCCTGGACCACACCATTCTCCAATTCTACCATTTTTCTTCCCACGTCTTTTGTTCTAATTGAAACACATTCCAACTCTGAAATTCACAGGCCAAGCCACACAGACAGAAAGCAGCAAAGGCAGGATCAGAACCCAGGTCCCATGACTTCCCACTTGCCTCTAAACAGCACTTCACAAATTTCCTTCCAATTCAAGTCAGTCTCAAAACTCAGAGATAGAATATTTTTGCTTTCACAAAAGAGAGGGGAGGGAGTGAGGAGAAGTCAGTCTGTCGGTTTAGGGCAGAGTCCCTACCTGAAAGTGAGCTCAAATTAAGGTCACAAAGGTTGGCCAAAAAGTCTCCAAGAATCCTTTGGAAGGAGCCCGGCTCCATTGAGCGTCCATCAAGACAATCCCCTTCCCTTTCCTCTGAGCTAGGAACACGGGGAGTGTTGAATGGAGGGTCAGCAGCCCTGTCTGGGGATGAAGATGTAATTTTTAAGGGACATGAGACAAAAAACTCCAATTCCTGCGAGCAGGAAGAAGGAAAACACGCTTTGGTGATTTGAGAGGAAAACATAAGGAAAATACTTGACAAGAACTCTGGCGACCTGGAGCGCAGACCCCGTCACACCCGAAGTTAAAAGAGGTTTTTATGAGTTGTCTTGGGAACCCTCCACCTTTACTAACATTGTTTCAAGCAGAAAACACATTCCAAGTTACAAAAGCCTGACACAGGACCTTCTGGCCTCTGGATATCAGTGCCCGTGATTGTGTGGTACTTCCCAGGTGCCAGCACATCCCAACAGCCCTGGGTCATTCAAGGATAAGGGACGGAACAGGGAGTGTTTAAGCTGGAGAAGAGGAGCTTGGGCGTTGTGAGAGTGGTTTTCAAGTGTCTGGCATGTGGCTAGAGATTCCAATCATTCTGCTGAACCCCGGAGGGCAGAACAAGGGCCAACCTCCAATCATTACAGAGACCAGCGTTAGCTTGATGTGCTAACAGTCGGAGCCGTGCCAAGGGGAAAGGGCCGTCTCTCGCGGCAAACAGTAGAGCCCCTCACGTTGAGAGGCTGAGGAAGAAGCCCCAGAAGCCTGGGGTCCTTCCTGGCACACAGGGCTACTTTTGCTGCCCTGATGACAGACTCGGTCTGGGGGTTACTGAGTGTGTTCATATTTTTAAAAAGGCGAACCTTAACTCTCAGACATTTCACTAATAGTCTATTAGCACTTAATGAGCACCTACTATGTGCCAGGCACTGTGCTCACTGCTGGGGGTACAAAGACAACACAAACAAGCATATACCAACCAGTTCTAGACAGGATAAACAGGAAATAATTCAGAGAGGCGAGAAAAGGCGTCCTTCAGAAGGCAAGATTTCAGCTGGGGCTTGAAGGACGCCAGGGAAGGCAGAAGGCAGAGCATCTCAGGCACAGAAGACAGGCAGAAAGGTGTCTCGTTCATGCAAAAGCAAGAAGGTCAGTGTTGATGGACTGAAGAGTTGGGGGGAGGTGATACAAGGGCTGAGAAGATGGGAAGCGGGGAGCACCAGGTTATGAAGGGCCTCGAACAGCCCTTGGCACTGCCCAGCCGTGCCCAGAACACAGCCGGTACTTAGGAAATGCCCACTGACCACCCAGTAACAGCACGTCTTTTCTTCTGAGTCATGCATTCCTCCATGGCAGTCTTTGGGCAGTGCAGCCCTTGTTCTGCGCCACTGTCCACTCATGCCCACGGTGGGCCTCTCTGCTGCCCTCACAGTGACCTGCAACTCTGGGTCTTTGGAGTCTACAGAATTCCATGACTTGCAGCATCGCTGGAAGAACGCTGATATTAAAAAAGCTTTGTTTTGGGGAGAAGCGTGGGATCGTTAAGAGCTGGGCACAGTTTCCCAAAGGATATCCAGCCTACTGGCTTTTCCTCCTAATCTTTGGAGGCACTTAACTGTAAACCCCCCCTTCCTCCTAATGCCTTCCCACGGAGGAAACCCTACATCTATCTATGCTGCTCTGTCCTCTTTGCTGACCTCCAATCTTGTTTATGCCTTTCAGACATCTCAAGCTGGCTGTCCAGTACACATCGTAAACTCAACATGTCCAAAATGGAACTTAATCTTATCTCTCCCCTTAAACCACCTTCCCAATTATGGTCAAGGGTACCACCATCACCCCAGTCACCCAAGCTCATGACCTAGGGGTCATTCTGAACTCCTCACTCCCTTCTCACCCACTCCCCATCCAAACAGTTCTCCATATATGCTAATTTCACCTTTGCAGCCTCTCTCCAATGTGTGCCCTGCAATGCCCCTACAAGGCTATCACCCTAGCACAGACCCTCCTCACCTCACCCCTGGATCACTGCAACAGCTGCTGGGGGTCTGCCTGCCTCAGGCCTCTCCCCACCCCAGTCCATCCTCCATTCAGCCACCAAAGTGATCTTCCTAAATCACAGGTCCAACCATGTCGCGCGCCCCCCCCCAATAAAACCCCACTGGCTCCCACCACCTCTAGGATCAAACACAGAATTCTCTGGTGTTCAGTTCAATACATTCAATTCAATCAACATTGCTCAGCATCTGCTATGTGCCAAGCACTGTGCCAGGCACTAGTAATTCAAAAACCAAAGTAAGACTCCCTCAAGGACCTGACTTTCTGCCATTAGACTGCAAGCTCCTTGAGGGCAGGGACAGTCTTTTATCTCTTTTTGTATCCCTAGGGCTTAGTACAGTGCCTGGCACATAACAGGTGTTTCATAACAGGTGCTTACTGACAGGCCACACTAAGCCCACATGTCCCCTCCAGATAGAGACAAGACGGCCCAGTGCTGAAGTAGGAGCCACCTGTAAGCTCACGCCCAAGCAAAGCCAGACAGGTCATTGGCAATCACTCAAGACTTGACAAGAAACGAAACCCTGAAGAGGACAGGCTGTGTCCCCATCATAGACTGGACCAGGCAGGGTCCAGCCCCCAACCATCCACAGCTATAGCCACTGGGTCTGCCTGACCAGAGCCAGCTTCCCTTACTCTTCCCCCTCGGACCTCTGATCTACCATAAATGTTTCTGCCATCCCAGGTGTAGTAAGACTGTACTGGGTAGTTAGAAGGAAATGTCAGTCTGCGTATTCCCTACTGTACATCTCAGGGAACTTAGGTGATTTCCATTATGCATTGTAGGAATCAGATCAGGGGCTTCCCACCCCCTTATTAAATAATTGGGTGATTAAGTAAATTGAACAAAGTAACTGAGTGCCTATAGTGATTGATGTAAATAGAAGTAGTCTGACCAAAAATAAATAAAATAAATGCTTATTGAATGGTCAGAATAAGCAACAGACAATCCACATGCTCTTCAGGGGCCCTCATAAAGTCAAGGAAACTAGAGGTAAGCCCCCAGTACACTGGGTGGAGGCAACCTTATGGGAGAAGAGGGACAAGATTCACATGGGACAAGCAGACACGGATGGAATGCAACTGAAATCCTAAGATCACAGATCTGAGGTATCAGAGAACTACCTTCAAAGAAACAAAAAATGTGTTTCACTTAACCTCAGAAAAAAAGGCACTCAGTGAGAAATATCCTACCAAACAGAGGCAAGGATTCCCAAGAAAAAGGATGCCCTCTCCACCTGCTAAAGGCATCTGGAGTCACTTGGTTCATAAAACAAAAAACTACTTTAAGAAATGATATAGCTCCAAAATCAATACCAAGACAGCCCAAACCATGATGTGTCCTATTTGCTGATTCACAGCTCTATCATTCAAGGGCTGAGAAATCCTAAAAAGGAGAGATTAACTGACAGGACAATCCTAGCCTGAACTACAAATAATAACAAGAGGTCGTCCTGACCCAGATACTATGGAGGAATGAAGACGTCAAGAAAAGTGAAGGATTCAAAGGAAACCACAGACTGGCAAAGAGCCAGGACTCTGGGATGGGAGAAGCTTGAAAATCAGCCAGCCATCAGACTAATCTCCAGTCTAAGGGGAGGAAACGGTCCAAGAAACCCTGCGGGAAGGAGCCCAAGAGCAACACTGGTGGAAATGGCACTGACAGTCTCCTGCATTGGTAACCTCCCCTGTGGTGTCCAAAACTTCAACATACATAGGAGGACAGAAAAACCCTATTGGAGAAAAGGTCTAGTGGGCATGCCAACTGAAACAACCTTCAAGATTCTCTTGCCTTCATAAGCTCATCCATGACTGGCTTCAGTAAACACATGTGAACACTCAGTAGGATGTAAAGTGATGAATGGACAGATGGAGAGATGGGTAGCTGGATGGTTGGACAGATAGAAAGATAGACAGTGCAATCACTATAGGTAAGGCACTCCGCAAAGCACTGGGAATATTTGTTGTTCAGTCCTTTTCAGTTGTGTCCAGCTCTTCGTGTGATGCCACTTGGGGTTTTCTTTTCTTGGTAGAGATACTGGAGTGGTTTGCCATTTCCTTCTCCAGATCATTTTACACATGAGTAAACTGAGGCAAACATGGTGAAGTGACTTGCCCAGAGTCACACAGCTAGTAAGTTTCTGAGGACAGATTTGAACTCAGGAAGAGGAGTCTTCCTGACTCCACTCTATCCACTATGCCACCTAGCTGCCACAGGGAACACAAATATAAGTAAAAACCTTCCCTGCCCTCAAGGAACTTCCATTCTAGTGGGGAAAGACCACACATGAAACGGAGCTAAAAAGACAGGAGACGGGAGGTCAGTTCCTGCACAAGGACATGGGCTGGCTGGTCCAGCACGCAAGAAAGTGGCTCAAGTGAGCTCTAAGGAGCTGGTTTGGGTCTGGCCAAGCTGTAGCCAAAATGCCAGACCTGCACAGAATTCATCAAAAGCTAGAGGATCAATGGTAGAGATGAGGGGCCATCCTGAGACACTGCAAGGGCAGGAAACCATGCTAAGTTAAGGAATGGGGGGGGCACCCCACTAAATACCTTCTCCAGTCTCACTTAGTGTGGTACCTTCCCCATCATTATCTCACCTCATCTGAAATCCTACCATTCAGAGACTCACTCCTAAGCTTTAACCAGCCCCTACTTTAAAACACAAATACCCCAGACCGAACTGTCAGCCATTCACACTTTAGTATGAGTTTGATCTGCTCGATTTCCTCCTTTTAATTCATTGAGCTGAGGACGTTGTTCAGACTCAGCAGGTGTGTATGGGTCTGAGACACTGCACATCAAGAGGACAGAACGCAATTCCAAAGTCAGAAAAGCCTTAGTTTGACTTTTGCCTCTGGTACATACTAGCTGGTAACCCTGAACAAGCTGCTTAATCTCTCAGCGTCTCAGAATAGTTGCAAACAAATGGTAGGTATTGTCTCCACCAGTGAAGTCACAAGTCTAGACCAAAAAAAAAAAATACCAACAAAACCCAATTTCTGAGTCTAACGGATATGGCCGAGTCACTGCTCCAACGCCGTCCCCAGAGAAGTGACCTGGGGAAAGAACAGCCAACGTGCCTTCAAGCTTTTGGGGGGCAGTGCTGGGGGGAGGGAGAGATAAGTTTGCAGAACCACTTCCTCCAGGTCCCGTGAAAAGACAAATGGTTTTGTGGCTGGCCATGTGAGGGCTAAGCTCCCCCTGCCTCCCCAACAGAAGAGACTGAGAGTCTTGTAAAAGGAGAGAACAGGGCAGGAGGATCATTTTGAAGAGGGCACGAATCTGCTCTCAGGAAAAGGACAATTTTTAAAGCTTCTGGGAAAGAAAATGTGCCAAGCCAAGGCGTGCCCACATCCGGCCTGATCCTTGGGGGCTGAGGGAGAAGAGGGGTCGCTGCCCTCACTGTAACACACAATCCCCATCCTGACTTCCTCGGGCACTTAGCAGCAAGAAACATAAACAGAACATGCAGGCAGAGGAGAATTAAATTGGATCAATTTGGCCAAATCAAGGAAATGGCTCATCACTTTAGAAGGAAAATCACAGAGGAAGGAAGAGGATCACCCCACCCCCACCCCAAGATCCAAGAGCTGAAATGGGGCTGGGAGGCAGGGGGGAGGGCAAGCTTAAAAGCACACATTTTTCAAACAGGGGTGATTATACTGTGTGGATTTTTTTTCTTTTATTCAAATTTTTGCTGCTATCTATTTCTCACTTAGATTTTTAATTAAATTTGCTAATGAACATAAATATCAAAGGTTAAGGTATAGAAGGAAAAGCACTGGATTTGGAGTAAGGGACCCCAGGCTCAAATCCTATCTCTCTCACTATCTGTGTGACCCTGAGAAACATCTTGACTTCTCTGGGTTTCTAGTGCATAGCACAGTACCTGGCACACCACAGGTGCTTTATAAATGTTCACTGACTGATTTCCTCACCTGTAAAACGAAGAGGGTGGACCTCTGAGAAACCACAGATGGTACTGGAGGATCCGAATTCAAATCCTGCCTCGGAAAATTCTCAACCTCGGAGCCCTGGGGAATCTACCTAAATAAAGTCTCTTCCCCTCAGTTTCCTCATTAGTAGAATTAGGATGCTGGACGTGATGACCTTTGAGGGCAGTTCCAGTTCTAAATCTACAATCTTCTGACTGACCTGCACTTCCAAATGTATTCCTCTCCTCTCCCCGACCCTTTGGGTTCGCTCAATGCCCTCCTCCACTCCACCCCACCCTTCTGCAAAGAAAGGAGGGAGATTAATTTTCTGGACTCTTCTCCAGGACCAAGTGAAGCCCCAGAGGTCCCAAAGCATTCATTCCATTTTCTGGTTCTGTTTACATTGTTGCAATCACCATGTCTATTTCTTCCCTGGGTCTTCTTTCTTTACACTGCATCAGTTTAGCTAAGTCTTTTCAGTTTCTCTGAATTCTTCAGTCTTGCTTTCTTACAGATAAGTAATCTTCCAGGACACTCCCAGACCCCAGTCAGGTTGGCCATGCCCCGGGGGCACCTATGCTGTTCCCAGTTCTTGCGTGGACTCTATGGTCTTACCTCTCTCTGTTTTCTGCTGTTCACTCCTATCAAGGCCTCATCAATTCCTGGAGGAGACCGTGAGTTATCAAAGACTTCCCAGTGAAGAGCAAGCCAGGAAAAGTGCTGCCAACCTGGAAAGAAACAGAGGAGAGACCAAATGAAGGGAAGATGGTAGGCTCCTTGCAGCAAGGGCTATCTCCGCTCTCTTTCTGTACCCCCAGAACCTAGCAGAGTGCCCGGCACACAGTAGGCACTTAATAAATGCTGACTGATTGAATTAAACCAGGACCAATCTAAGGACGATACCAACAATTGTCAGAGCTCACATTTATATAAGGATTTAGGAGAGGCAAAATGCTTGACCTGCAAGGTCCCATTTGAAGTGTTCTCATCTTCATTTTGCAGAGCAGGAAACCAAGGCTCAGAAGCTTCCCCACAGAAACACAGTCAGTAATAACAGCAGCTGACGTTTATTCACATTGTGGTTAAGGTTTGCAAAACACTTTACATCTGTTATCTCACTTATCTTCACAACAACCTTGTGAGAGAGGTTCTATTAGACCCACTTTTCAGATAAGGAAACTGAGTCTCCAGAAGATTAGGCCCACAGATTTAAAGCTGGAAGGGTCTTAAAGGTCATCTAATCCAACCTTTCCCTTTGCAGATGAGGAAACTGAGGCCTAGAAGCTTAAGTGCCTCACCCAGGGTCACACAGCTAGGGGGTGTCTGAAGTAAGAATTGAGCTCCTGAAGATGAGTCTTCCTGACTCTAAGCCTGGCACTCTATCCACTGCACCAAATAGCCATCCTTCTCCCTAAATACTCATCCAAAATCAGAAAGAACAGGCGTGGCTTTGGGCTGTTGGTCCAAACCTGGCATGTCTTCAGTATCCAGAACTCCCAGCACGGAAGCTCTCTCCACAGATGCAGACAGACAACTCTTCTACTATGCCAGTCTTAGAGAAGAGAAAAGTGACATGTCCAGAGTAGCTGATGAGTGTCAAAGGCAGGATTTGAACTCGGGTCTCCCTAACTCTAAGGCTGTCCCTCCATCTCCAGTGACACGCCCTGCTTCAAATGCCCAGCAGACTTTTAGAAAGCAACTTATCCCCAAACCTCCAGATGAGACATTCAGCTCACGCTCTCCCAGAGAGTCACCCTCTCCCCATTCTCCGGTATTTTCCAGGCACATAGAGAGACTCTTACAACAGCTGGGTGTGGTTTGTTGTGATTGTTTTTAAATGAATGAGCTGCCTTGTCTTAGCAATGACCACCACAGCTGGAACTAAAGAGAGCTTGACCCTGGAACCCACTGGGACAGAGGCACCACGAGGGGGTTGGGGGAGGAATGGAGAGATGGATGGTCAGGAAGATCCCAGTTCAAATGCTGCCTCATGCTCCTCTCTGGGTGACGCTGGCCAAGCCTCAACTGGCATTTCAGTTTTCTCATCTGTAAAATAGGGTAATACTCCAACATCTGTCCCCACAGAATGAATGTGAGTAACAACCAAACGAGGAAACTGAGTGCTTTGCAAAGGTGTCTGAATGTCAGCTACTATTATTGTTAACACTATATAAAAAAAATTATGAGGGGCAGCCAGGTGGCAGAGTGGATAGAGCACCACCAGTCCTGAAGTCAGGAGGACCCAAGTTCAAATCCAGCCTCAGACACTTACTAGATGTGTGACCCTGGGCAAGTCACTTAACCCCAACTGCCAAATAAATGAACGAATGAATGAATGACCACGTCACTTAACATGTCGATAATGTAATCATCCAAGACAGGCCAGTGGGGAACCACAGACTGAGTCAGATGATCTGGATTCAAATCTGCCTGTATCATATCTACATGATACCGGGCAAATCATCGAAGTGTCCCCAGCCTCTGTTTCCTCCTCTGTAAAACGAGAGGCTGGTAGCGTATCAGGAAAGATGACAAAAGATAAGAACAGTCAGAGTTGGGTTGTGGACAGCCAGGCACATGAATGCTTTTTTGGAGGAGTGACATTCACAGCTCAGGCCATTCTGGAGGGCGATGTGGAATTATACAAAGGAAGTGACCAAACATCCATGCCCTCTGGCCCAGAGACTCCACCAGCAGGCAAACATGTCAAAGAAGCCCAAGAGAAAGAAAGGTCCTCTAAACACCAAATTCTGACGGCAGCCCTTTCTGAGGTGGCAGTAACTACAGCACAGTCATTTCTGGTTCACCATTCAGAGAGGTGAGGGAAGGGGAAGCTGAGGACAAGCAAAAAGATGACACTTTACCAAAATGCCCAGCTCCAAACGCCGGCTTTCCTTCCCCTTCAGAGAGCTCACTAGCAGGACGCACCTCCTGCATCCTCTCCTCGTCTCCACCTCAGGAATCCTTGGAGGCCTTCAAGGCAAAGCTCAGCATCCCCTTCAGCAGGAGGCCAGTCCCAGTCCCTTCCCCTCCTCCCTCGTCCCGCCTCAGGTTACATTGTCTATGCTTCCTATTCTGTCACCATTATCGACCTATACACATGTGCATCTGTCTGCTCTGCAAGAATGTAAGCACCGCATGGCAGCGGCCTGTCTCATTTCTGCCCACGTAACCCCAACACCCAGGCAGGCAGGGGATTAATAAAGGCTTCCTGATTGATTGATAAAGAGACTCAAGCATAAAGAGAAGTCTAATTAATCAAGCAGAGTATTCCTTTCTGTCTTCCTATCATCAGTGAGTTACACCACCAGAATCAGAGGCCTGCCCCACCTCTCCATGCTTACCCAAAGGGCCCCAGACTTTTGGCCCATTCTTAACAGGAAGGCTCTGCTTTTAACACTTAGTGTAAAGGGGAGAGCGCAAGGCGGAGATTGTGCTTACAAAGGCAGAAAATGAACGTTTGCTCACTGAAAACAAAACATTTAAAGGTAGTTTTTTTTTAAAAGCCCACCCTAATGCATCTGGCAAGTTCATAAACACAATACAGAACAAACCATCTGAAAGGGACCCAGAGAAGGCAGCACAATGCAAACAGCTGTCAAGAGAGAAGTGGGATGTGGGATGGCAAGGGCGGATGGAATTCGTGTGACTCAGTCAAACTTCCCTTTAGCGGGCAAAGGGTCATGCCAGATAAACGGCGTCCTTTGAGTCAGGCCTTCGGGGAACAGTCTGTAGGTGACTCATCCATCAACTACTAAAACTGCTCCACTTTTTAAGAACGTTTCCAATACTTCAGGAGTGTCCGTTTAAAAAAAAAAAAACGCCACACTGATTCAAGAAAAAGGGTTGACTATGATCCTATTTACAGATCTGTTGTCAGCTCCGGAGGCATTTCAGAGGTACGTGGAGCAAGCCGAGCCTCAGACGCTTCCCAGTTGTGGGACCTCGCTGGGTAAGTCACTTCACCTTTGTCTGCCTCAGTTTTCCCCACCTATAAAATGGGGATCAAAACATCACCTATCTCCCAGGGTTGGTGTGAGGATCAAATGAGATCCTATTTGTAAAGAGTTAGCACAATGCCTGGCATACAGTAGGCAGATAATAAATGCTTATTTCCTTCCTTCCCATAGTCATTAGTTTATTTGTACATCTTCCATCCCACCTTAGGGTCATTCACTCCCATCAGTAAATGACTAGGCATTAGCCTTACACTGGGAAGCCACTTAGAAGTGGCACCTCTGGTTTACTCAGCTGGGGGACGGGAATTTCAATCACCCCCACTTTCCTGCTGACCCCTGCTCAATGACCATTGGACCAGCTTCCCAGCCGCTTTCATTCTGCAGCCTTTCAGGCACCCAGGCATCTCACCAAGGTGGACATTATTGTCTGGACCGCCCCCATCCAAAGCAAGGCCGCCTCCATCTACGACTCCCGGTTTCTCAGACCTCAAGGGTGTCACCGTCCTAGGCATAACATGGTAGATATCAAGAGGCATACGGAGCAATGGCATCGGACATTCGTGCCTGTCTGACGGAGAGGTCTGGATTGAGTCCGAGCTCTGAGGGCGTGTGAGCACACAGCCTCAGCCCCAGTGCTCCTCAGAGCAGAAGGACACTGAGGTCTTGAACACTGAGGACGCTCTACCAGGATCCGTTCAGACAAAGGGGATCCCAGGACAAAGACTGTGCCAGACGCTGCAGCACCAGGAAGGGCAGAGACCAGGCAGGAAACACTATGGGAACCCCAGCCATGCCCACCTCCTGGAACTACTGGAAGCAGAGAGGTCTGCAACCCGAAAAGGAAATAATCACCATCACCACCACTGAGGAGCACGTAGGGTACAGCTCAGAGCCCCACAGGCCGATTCTGGGACATAGGCACTATCATCCCCAACACTGAATACCTCCTATCTCATCGGCCCCTCGCAACCTGACTCCAGCTACCCTCTCCAGATGCACGTCCCCTCCACGCACACACCTTCTTGCTGTTCCTTACACACACCTGTACCCCGTGTCTGACTGCCCCTCAGGAGCCCCCATTTCTGCCAGTGCTTCCTCTTTCTGGAGGCCCGTTGGGATCCCCCCAGCTCCAGGCACCCTGGCCCCAGCCCAGTACATCACTCTGAATTTCTAGTTGTATTTCTGTGTCTGTGAGCAGACGAACTCTCCTTAAAAGAATATAACCTCTCTGAGGGCAGGGAATCTCTCCTTTTTTGCCTTTCAGTCATCCCTAGCTAGCATCAAGTGCGGTGACTGGGCTGTATTAAATTCAAGACAGAGGAAGAGACAGAAACAGAGACAGAAAAGAAGATGGCAAGAAAGGGAGAAAGTAAGAGATAGAGAGAGAGGGAGGGAGAGAAGAAAAGGAGAGATGGAGAGAAGAAAAGAGAGAGGGACGGATGAGGAAGAGAAAGGAGGAGGGTGGAGAACACATCTATGTTGGAGTCCTACTACCCTGCTGGGAGGCATGAGTGCGAGGACTGGGTCTCATCTAAACCGGGCATCTCTCCCCCTCCACTCCTCACCAGAATAGCAGTGCTAATAGCTAATAACAGTTGGCATTTATAGAGCACTTAAGAGATTTACAAAGAGTTTTACAAATATTATGATTTGGGAGCAGCTACGTGGCACAGTAGATAGAGCACCAGCTTAGGAGTCAGGAGGACCTGAGCTCAAATCTGGCTTCAGACACGTAACACTTACTAGCTTTGTGCTGGGTAAGTCACTTA